GTGTTTGTGTGTCTGTGTGTCCGTGTGTCTGTGTGTATGTGTGTCTGTGTTTCTGTGTGTCTGTGTGTCTGTGTGTCTGTGTGTCTGTGTGTCTGTGTGTCTGGGTTTGTGTGTCTGTATGTCCGTGTGTCTTTTGTGTCCGTGTGTCCGTGTCTGTGTGTCTGCATGGCCGTGTGTTTGTGTGTCCGCGTGTTTGTGTGTCTGAGTATCTGCGTGTCTGGATGTCTGTGTGTCTGTGTGACTGGTTGGCTGTGTGTCTGTGTATCCTTGTGTCTGCGTGTCTGTGTGTCCGTGTGTCTGCGTGTCCGTCTGTCTGTGTGTCTGCGTGTCTGTCTGCCTGTGGATCTGTCTGTGTTGTCTTTCTGTGAGTCTGTGTGTTTGTCTGTCTGTATGTGTGTCTGTGCGCGTGTATTTGCGTTTGTGTGTGTATGCGTGCGTGTGTGTGTGTCAGTGTGTGTGTGTGCGTGCGCGCGCGGCGCTGGCAGCCCCGTGCTGGCCCCCCCCCGCCCATCCCCTTTCTCGGGTGCTCCGCGAGGGCGGAGTGGTTGGAGTGGAGGGAGGGCCGGCCCCAAAATGGGGCGGTGCCTCCCCCCTCCGGAGCGCCGGAAGGGGGTGTGGTGGGTGGGTGGGGGGGGGGGGCTCTGTTTGCCAGTCAGTGTGTCTGTGTGTCTATGTATCTGTGTGTCTATGTGTCTGTGTGTCTGTGTGTCCGTGTTTTTGTGCGTCTGTGTGTCAGTGTGTCAGTGTGTCAGTGTGTCTGTGTATTTGTTTGTCTGTGTGTCTGTGTGTCTGGTTGTCTGGGTGTCTGTGTGTCTGTGTGCCTGTGTGCCTTTGGGCCTGCGTGTCTGTGTGTGCTTGTGTCTGCGTGTCTGTGTGTTGGTGTGTCTGCGTGTCTGCGTGTCTGGGTGTCTGCGTGTCTGTGTGTCCGTGTGTCTGTGTGTCTGTGTGTCTGTGTGTCTGTGTATCTGGTGCTCTGTGTGTCTGTGTGCTTGAGTGTCTGTGTGCGTTGCAGATCTGTGATTTGTTGTGGTCTCCTCTGTATGCTCTGTGTTCTGCCGTTCTAACGTTCTGTTTCTGTGGTGTGTGTGATGTGTGGCTGTGTGGCCTGTGTGTCATGTGTCCGTGTGTCTGTGTGGTCTGTGGTGTCTTTGTGTCGGTACATCTTGGGCCTCTAAGGGTCTGTTGGGCCTGCGTCGCTGTGTCTGTGTGTTCTGTGTCTCCGTGTGTTTCTTTTGTGTATGTATGGCAGGGGTCTGTTTGCTGTATGTTGTGTTGTGTGTGTCGCCCTGGTGTGTCCGAGTATCCGTGTGTCTGTGTGTCTGTGGTGTCTGGTGTACTGCAGGGTCTCTGTGTTTGCGTGTCTGGTGTGTGTGTTCTGTCTGTCTGTGTGTTCTGTCTGTCTGTGGTTGTGGGTCGTGGTCTCGTGTGTCTGTTGTGTCTGGTTGCCGTGTTCTGGTGTCCGGTGTCTGTTGTCTGTGTTGTCTGTGTGTCTGTGTGTCTGTGTGTCTGTATGCCTGTGTGTGTGTGTGTCTGTCTGTCTGTCTGTCTGTCTGTGTGTCTGTGTGTCTGTGTGTCTGTGTGTCTGTGTGTCTGTCTGTCTGTCTGTCTGTCTCTGTCTGTCTGTCTGTCTGTCTGTCTGTCTGTCTCTCTGTCTGTCTGTCGGTCTGTCTGTCTGTCCGTCTTGTCTGTCTGTCTGTCTGTCTGTCTGTCTGTCTGTCTGTCTGTCTGTCTGTCTGTCTGTCTGTCTGTCTGTCTGTGCGCGTGTGTATGCGTGTGTGTGTGCGTGTGTGTGTCAGTGCGTGTGTGTGCGCGCGCGGCGCTCGCAACCCCGCGGTCCCCCTCCCCCTTCCTCCAGCGCCCCGCGAGGGCGGAGTGGTTTGAGTGGGGGGAGGGCCGGCCCCAAGATGGGGCGGTGCCTCCCCCCTCCGGAGCGCCGGGAGGGGGTCGGGGGGAGGGTTCGTGCGGGTGTTTGTAAGTGTTCGTTCGTGTGACGTGGGTGTGGTTGTAAGTGTGTTCGTTTGTGCGTGTGTGTGTGTGTGTGTGTGCGTTTGCTTGTGTGACTGTCTCTGTTCTCAGTGCGTGTTTTCTGTGGGTGTTCGCGATTGCGTTCGTGTGTCTGGTGCGTGTGTGTGTGTCTGGTGCGTGTGCGTGTGTGTGTGCGCGTGTGCCTGTGTGTTCGTGCGTGTGTGTGTGCTTTTCCGTTTGCGTGTGTTTATGTTTGTATGAGTGGGTGCGCGTGTGTCTGGTATGTGTGCGTATGTGTGTGTGTGTGTGTGTGTGTGTGTGTGTGTGTGTGTGTGTGTGCGTGCGTCTGTGTGTGTGTGTGTGTGTGGGTATGGGCGTGCGTGTGTGGTGCGCGCGCATGAATGGGCGCGCGTGGATGAGTGTGCGCGCGCGTGTGGATGTGTGTTTGTGTCTGTGCTCGTGTGATTCTGTGTGCGTGCGTGCGCGTGCGTGTGCGCGCTCGCGCCCTCGGTGGCGCCGTGGTCCGCGCGCCCCCCCCCCTTTCTCTCTCTCCCCTGCCTCGGGCGCACCGCGGGGGCGGAGGGGGTGGAGTGGGGGGAGGGCCGGCCCCGGAATGGCGCAGCGCCTCCCCCCTCCGGAGCGCCGGCGGAGAGGGCGGGGGGCGAGGCGCGCGTGGGCGGCTCGTGTGTAGGGGTGTGTGCGCCTGTGTGTATGTATGTATGTATGTATGTATGTATGTATTGATGTATGTATATATATATGTATATATATATATATACATATATATATATATATGATTATGTGTGAACGCGTGCGTGCGTGCGTGTCTGTGTGTGCGTGAGTGTGTATGTGTGTGTGTGTGTTCGCATGCTGTCCTACGCGTGGTTTCATGTTTCTCTGTATGTCTGTGTTTTTAGGTGTGTGGCGTGTCTGTTGTGTGTGTGTGCTCGTTTGTGCTCGTGTGTGCGTGTGCTTGTATGTGTGAATGCATCTTCGCTACTCGGTTTCTCGACCTCGCGCCGAACACTTTCAGGGTCGGATGGGGACATGGGAAATACCTTGTTTGAAATGTCTAAGAAGATCATATCTGAAACTCTCTGCTTTTTTTCCGAGCACTCTCGAGGGTGCGAGGAGCTCTACGAGGTCCCCGGCGGTAACCAGGTGCATTGTGCAGTAGGGAGTCTTCGGTTCCACATACTGTACACGGAAGGCGGAAGCGCGGGAATCGAAATCTGGCGGGGCATTCCTTCACAACGTGGTTCCACATACTGTACACGGTGCTTCAGAGCCTGTTTTGCCTGAGTACCGCGGGTGCACATATCAGATTGTTTCTCCGTATTGCTCCAGTGGTGGGGAACTCTCAATACTTTGGGATTGATTCTTGCCAGAGCTTGTCAGTTTTGCTCCCTGTGCACATTTCTGTGGACTCTGTCACACGTGTGTTCATTGAAGTTGGCCACAATATACAACTCCGTCGCACGAGTGCCCATTAGAGTATGGCGCTTCCAGTGTCGGGCAGCCGGCGCAAGAGAGAAGACGACGGGGCTGAGGGCATGGACGCTGAGAATGTACTAGATGCTGATATCCACGGATTGGCTTTTGATGAACAGAATCCCATGAAGCAATTCTTCGAACTGGGGAAGCAGCAACTGCAGCAGCAAAGAATTACTGACCGCAAGGTGACAGGCATGGTTAACGATATGGCTACCATGCAACGACGGCAGGACAGTGCTGAACGACGAATGGCTGAAGGCCAGGCTCAGATGGATAAACGAATGACAGATCTTGAGAAGCAGGTCTTAGAGCTCAAGTCGCATACTGCTGCAGGTTCTGGGGCATCCACTGGTGCTACTTCTGCTGGCTTTGGGGGTGAGGCGACTTGGCCAAACGAGAGCAGGCGTCCATTCCGAGCCTTCAATCCAGAGTGGATCGATTTTCGTGGATGGGTGACTGACTGGAGGAATCCGATTCGACGGTCAGAGCAAATGATTTCAGATCGGGACGTGGGCATTCTCATTCACAACTTGAAGATGAGCCTCCCAGAGGATGACCGTGCGAAGATTGACGAGCTTGGTACGCTTCGTATGAATGGGAATCGTCCCAACTACGCAAACTTCCGCATCAAGTTTACCACTGGTACTGAGTCAGACGTACTCTGGAGGTGCAAAAAGTTTTGGGAAGAAGCTCTGATCCCGCCTGAGGATCGAACTGAGGAGCAAAGGTCTCTTGCCCGTCCGACGCCACAGGATCTTTTCAAAGACATGGACAACAGACCGTGTGCGGCTGGAGGCTCCATTCGGATCAAGACACAGGCACCGCCATGGAAAGAGGACCACATCAATGCTGTTGGCAGATTCCATGGTGTGTGGCGCGATACGGTCATTGCGAGGAATCCTGAAACGACAATGAAGATCAAGGGAGTGCCTGGGAGTGGAAAGGGGGTCAGTGTGATGTGGACCATTCCCCCATGTCTCCGTACCAAAAGAAGCATGGAGCTGGCCAAGTGGAAACAGGATACGGGCACTTGGACCGTTGATCAGACGGTCTGGAACGAAGTTGTCATGACGTACGGCATCGCCACGACCCACAAAGAAATGGAGGATGCACTCGGACAATGAGGGTGCTGCGAGAGATCCAAAAGCATGGCTCTCGCTACTCTCGCAGCAGGCACACTCAATGTTGCGAGAGCTGGGCGGCTCGAGTCTCGGGCTTACGCTATTCTACGAGCGCTACAGGGGGTAGGCTTAAATGTTGTGGCTTTGCAAGAATGTCAAAACGTGGACTTCAATGACACCTTAATTCAGCGTCTGGGGTGGGATGCTGTTTCAAAAAGTACTTGCATGCGGGCAGCGGTGCTTCTTAAACGTCGACACCTGCCCCACGTGATAGCCTCTTATCAAGCAGATCGGGTTGCGATGATTGTTCATCGATCGGGAGTTTGTTTCACTAGTGCTTATTTTGCTGATACGTCTCATCCAGACGCTCCAGAGATATGCAGACGGATACTGCATGATGTACGCCGCCTGCATCGACAGGCTCAGGCCAACCATGGCCACCACTTTCGCTTGTTGCTTGCCTGTGATGCCAATGTGGAGCTCACGCCAGAGTTGGAGGTGGATGGGAGGAGGGTGACGGGACCAGGACTCAGAAGATCGAGGGAGAGGGGACTTGGTCGGAACGGTGCCATTGATTTGGAGGACAGGAGGGCCAAGGAGGTGTGCATGAGGGACCAGATTGAGGAGTTCCTGGAGGAGGAGGAGCTGGCTGCGATCAACACTTTTGAAGCACGGGTGCCGACCTACTGGCACTTCGGTGAGAGTGAGCCCACAAAGGTCTTAGATTACATCTTGGCGCCCAGGCAGTGGACAGTAGAAGATATCTCGTACAGTTGGTTGCAGGACGGGCGTGTGGCACGTTTGAGCGATCATGCAGTGATCAAAACCCTGTTGGCCCCAAGGGAACCCCAGGAGATGTACCGACGCAAGGTTGTTCGGCCACACGTCACGGCACGCCGGGCATTCGAGTCCCACAGAGAGGAGTTCTGTTTCAGGGCGTTGGTGGACATTGGTATTGAGGCCACACGCCCTGACGAGATCGCGAAGTCGTTGCATCAGCATGCGTTGCCTCTGCTCAATCCGCCTTCCTCTGCGCATCGTGCACATGCTAAGTCTAAAAAGCTAGCAGATCTTCAGCATCAGTATCGTGGAGCCCGTGGGAATCCTGATGAGAGAAAGCGCCTGAGGGAACTTATGAGGCCCCTGGTCAATGCAGATAGGCGTAGTGAGATCGAGTATACCTTCGCGAACCCTCGCAAAAGCAAGAAAGTGAATGTCAAGTCTCTGAAGATCGACGGGGAGGTGACGGAGGATCGTAAGAGGTGGGTGGAGGAGGGGATGAAGCAGCACAGCTTGAACACGATGACGAGCGTAGAGGAGAGGATGAGGAACAGCGAGCTGGTATCTGACTTACGGCGACGTGCACGAGCAGCTAGGGCACACAGCAGCAGCAGTACGATGCGCGACATGCACATGCAGCTCACGATGGGGGTGGTGAACGAAGCACGTGCACGATTGAGATCTGGCAAGAGCTGCGGCCCAGATGGGGTCAGCGTGGAGCTCTTGAAGGCTTTGGCGTGGCGATCTGTTCGCCAGATTTTCCATGTGTTTCGAGATATCTTTGATGGTGATCGTCGGTCACCTGACTGCTGGAGAGAGGTACTCATCACGCTGATGCCCAAGCTGGTGAATCTAGATTCGCTCACACAAACACGCAATATAGTTGTACAGAACACGTTAGGAAAATGGTACCTCACCTGCGTTACTATCCTTATCGAGAGGCATGCTGAACAGTACATGGGGCGATTGGGCTTGTATGGTTTCGCACAGGATCGGAGGACGTGGGAAGTAGCGGGACCCCTTAAGGCCATCTCACAGCATGCGAGCGTCTGGGGGAAAGATAGGAAAGCGTTCTTCTGTTCATGTGATATAGCACGAGCCTTCGACCATGTTAAGCTCACTACCTTGGCACGCGCGATGCACATGCTTAACATACCTGTACAGCTACAATATGCTCTGATCGAGCCCTTAACTGACACGACGGGCACGCTCACGTTCGAGGGCCTGGAGTTAGGTGGGGTACGATGGGATCGATCTCTCAGAACGGGGGGTACCGAGTCTCCCCTGTGCTTTAATTTGGTTGTGTTGGCCATGTGGGCGGAGGTCATACAGAGGTGGGATAACGAACGTATAGGTGTGGAGATCCCGTACAGCAACATGCACGACATGACGCGCGCACATGTTTACAATCATGCGATTTGGGCAGATAACATATATCTCGTGGCCAGTACATCGGCTCAGATGCAGCTGATGATCGACACACTTACTCACGCTTTACGTACATGGGGACTAGAGTGGAAGTCAGATTCACTTGAATCGATGGTGGTGGGCGACCGCGATACCACTACTTTCTTCGCTGATATCCAGGGGGTGCAGGTCCCATTCAAGTCAGTCTCTCAGCTGAATGTGTTGGGAACGGTCGTCTCGCAGCAGTATGGGGGCACGCATGAGGACATACAATTTCGGATTGACTGTGCACGACGCGCGTTTTATGGGCAAGCTAAGTATTATCGTTGTCGTGCTCTCCCTCTTCGTAAGCGGTATCGACGGTATCAGAGCCTGGTACAGAGTGTATTAGCATACGGACTGGATACATGTACGCTGGACCCTGAAGGTGTTCGATTGCTTCATACCTTTGAGGGCAGATGCCTGCTGGCCATGCATTGTCGACGGAAGCCTGCGGGACAGAGATGGGAGGTCTGGAAGCCACATATGCTTGACACAGCGAGGGCTTCTTTCTGCTCGCTGGGATTTCCTAGCATCGTCCAGATCGTGGCGTGGAAGAGTTGGAGCGTCGCGCATTCGGTCAGCACGGCTTATGGCAATTTTGATTTCACAAATCCTGGGCCTCCCCGGTGGAGAGGCCCAGGTTCAGGAGTAAGTTGTGAGGATGGGGTCTCGAGCGGTTCCCAGCACAATGATGGCGCTGACGGCCGACGTGTTGCACGCAAGGTTGAGCCACATCCTGATACCACGAGACGTGCATTTGTTGATTCTCGCACGGCATTGCTTTGTACACACAAGACCTGGGAAGCGCACCGCATGGCTCTCACTGAGTGTCTCCGCTGTCATGGAGATCGTAGGCGTGCCTCTGAAGGCAAACGGCTGCGTGCTGGAGGGGATAGTGTTGGGCAGCGGTCTTGGCAGTACCCGTACATACAGATTCATGGGGATGAGTGGTGGGAGACCTTCCGACCAGGATATGCCACATTTCTGCAGACATGGGAAGCACTTTTACGCACGTATGGTAGGCCTAAGATATTCGAGTACTTCTGCACGGATTGGAAACAGGTACCAGGAGGAGTTGTTGGGAGAGAATGTAAGGAGGGAACAGGAAGGAACGAGGAGGCGACGGAGGAGGAGAACATGAAACAAGCAAGACGGTTGGCGATTATCAATGAACGGGAAGCTGTATTTGATATCATGTCGAACGGAGTTGGAATTGAGATCAAGGGAGACTCTTTGTTGGTCCAGAGCTGGCTTACGGGACGTTGGCGTTGTCATAATCGTGCATATCGTGAGCGTGTACGCAGGTGTGTCAACGACATGTACGCACTTAGCTTATCACACCGAGCACGGGCATCGAACGTTGGGCGAGACATATTTGTACATGAATTTCGTGAAGCAAACACCCGAGCAGACGAACTTACTCATTTGGCCAGAGATGGCCACACATTTCATCATAACTATTGTCATCGATATCCCTTCGAACGAGACTATTTGAAGGTAGTCGCCTGTCGTGGGGGGTACGACGGGGGAGTGTGCAGCAAGGGCAGTGCATGCGGTTACTGGATGCAGGTTCTATCTCAACATGTCTTCGCGGGCGTCTCGGCATGGAGTGTATTCTACACGATACTCCCCCTACCCGACCTCTTCCTCTCTACATTATCATGCTGACACACCGTTGATTTGGAGAGACGCTGCTGCTGCGGCTTGGTTGGAGCCAGGCGCCACGATCACCGAATGTGAGTTGTCCGCTGCCGAAGCATTGACACATGCCATACGCATACAGCTTCAGCAATTTGATGACAGTGATTTTGCTTCTTGATGATGTGTTATCCCTATGCCCTCCTGGACTCGGGAATCATCTTCAAGTTTAGCTAAGTTATATGACACCTCAGCCCGCCTCCGTGGGTAGGTGCTCGTTTCACTGCTGCTCAGATGCCTAGCTGCGTAGCTGACACGGGCTGCGCTGAAGACCAGCGCCTCGCCAGCCCGCGTAAACACAAAAACCAGGTTGACGGTTTACCGCCGGCGCCAGTAACCGCCGGCGCCCAGTAATTCCGGGGAGCTGAAGAGCTAGTTGGCAAGAAAAATCTCGACGGACCTTTTGGTGACTTTTGGTCGGTTGAAAATTTCATCCTCAAAATTTGACCATTCGTTAGATCTCTAGTATTCTTTCCCATGATATTCGACCTTATTCCCGCTCGCCATCTTGATCTCAGCTCGATCGAGTAACTTTGAAGGCCAAAAAGCAGGCAGGCGGGAACGGCCGTTTCGAGTCATCTTGATACGCGCTGTCGGTTTTCTCAAGATAACTCGAGCTTCAGAACAACTACAGAGCTGGTCAGCACGGCTAATGCATTCAGAATCATCAGGCGCGTTCGCCTGTTGAATCGAGAGGTCTGAACTCGGTCTGCTAGTCGAGCTAGGGTCGCAAACCTATTCGTATTATTCGAGTTATTGTAGCAGACGCTCTTGCTTTTTCGTACTTACCTCGATCTGTAGCGCAGCTACAGAGCTAATAATCACAGAAATCGATTGAGAATTATCAGGCGCGTTCGTCTGTAGAATGGAGAGCTCTGAACTCGGCCTGCTCCCAGAGCTAGGTTCGCGAACCTTTTGGTATTGTTCGAGTCATCTTGAGACATGCTCGGTTTTCTGTACTTAAATCGTGCTGGGGGAGGGCTACAGTGCTGCTGGTCACAGGAATCGATTTCGAGACATCAGGCACGTCCGTTCGTCGAACCGAGAGCTCGGAACTCGGTCTGCTGCTCGAACGAGATCCGCGAAACTGTTGTATTACTTGAGTCATCCTGAGAGGTACTCTCGCTTGTCTGCACTTAACTCAGGCTGTATGGGGGCTGCGGAGCTGGTAATCACAGGAATCGATTTGCAGACATCAGACGCATCCGCCTGTCGCATTCAGAGGTCTGAACTCGGTTTCATTCTCGAGCTCGATTGGAAAACTGTTCGTTTGTTTTGTTAGAGTCATCTTGAGAGGTCTATAATCGCTTGGGCTGAAACTAGTCGTTCTCTGAAATTCTTTTCCACATTATAATTATCAGGAAGCTCTGCGAGTCCCCCGGCGGTAAGAAAGGTTGACGGTTTGCCGCCGGCGCCCAGTTCTTCCAGGCCCCTAGGCAGATCTTCATTGCGCGCTTTGCAGGGCCCCACGCATCGTAAACGGCGCCCCTGCACGCGTCTCCTGCGAGGTTTCCAGTGTTCCGCGCATCGTTTCAGGCGGCCTGGCAGAGGTCCCCGTACCTCGTAGAGCTCTTCGTCATCGATGAGCTAGAGGAATTCCGCGGGGTGGAGCCAGTTGGCCGACCCGGCCAGAAAGGACAAAGTGTTAACTTTTGGGTGGTTTTGCAATTTTTTGAAAGATATTTGAAAATTCATTTTAAAGCAGATTTTTCGCACCTGTAAACAATTACAAGGGCTTCTCTGTCTTAGTATGGGATCTGTAGGCGCACTATTGCAATCAAAACACTTGGCGGAACCATCTCATGTCGACACGAAAAAAATCTATTTTTCTCTTTTTCGCGAAATGGTTCCAGAAGCTCTC